TGTGTGTGTGTGTGTGTGTGTGGTCTTTTGGTTTTGTTTGCTTTAACATTTTGAGTATTTGAAACTTGTTGAATGTGTCATTCAGTAAAAACCATTGATGATCATTAGGCTGCATGTTGCTTCCTGCTGTTTCTCAGTTTCCTGTTGCACATCACTGTGTAGGTCAATGAAGACAGGAGGAGTCGGCCATGTTGGCTCATCCTGACCGGTTAAACGAAGTGTAGAAGTGAAGCGGTCGGTTTGGCAGCGTGTTGGAACGTGTTTCAACATTTTTATCACATTTGTCCAGTTTGTTGGAAACACAAACACGTGGAGGATTTGCTCATGTGTTTTAAGGAGATTCTAGGATTCAGTAATTGGAAGTTAAATGCAGATAAACCCCATGTTTAGACTCAGAGCAGCTCTGACTGTGTCCTGGGATGTGTTTGATTCCTCTGAGCTCCATCGTTACTATTAAAAAAACACATCAGTGACCCACACACACTGTCCTGCTGCTCACTTCACCACCAAATGTTTGTTAATCCGCAGCTGAAAATAGTCCCCAACAAAGTCACTATTTCCTTTTTGAATAAATCTACAGTGAGCGGCTATTTGAGGAAATTCCTGAGACTTTTAAAAAACGAAATGTGTATGAGGAGTTTTTAAAGCTTTACATTTCAGTAGGAACCAATGAGCTCCGAGCTGAGAGCCACAGGTAGAGGAGGGACGATTAGAGAGACAGACTGACACACTGTTGGTCTGGATTTATTGACTGTAGGAAATCTGTAGAATAACAGCAGAATGATCCGTTCATTTCCTGACAGTCACTCATCATAACCAATAAAAGAAAAACCCTCTTGTTCCAGTGCAGGTTCTGAGATTTTCTTAAAATTAGTTTCAGTATCAGAGAGAAAAGAAAAAGAAAAAGAAAGAATCAGGTTTTTATGGAACAAACTGGTCCAATAAGTTTTAATCATGAAAATGATTTATGAAGATGATTTTCAGTCAGTCCTCAGTGTTAATCACAGGCCTGATGAATAGTTTTCATCTGCATGTGCAACTCAGCTCACGTTTTATTATTGTTGCTTCACTTTGAATTCATTATTTGTGTTAGTGCTGAAACCTATTTTCATAATCGATCAATCGTTCGTTCATCAGTCATTTAAAAGGTTCCAGTTTCTAAATTGTTAATATTCAGTTTTTCTTCTGTCAGTGAATGAAACATCTTTAGTTTTATAGACAAAACCAGACTTCTCCTCAGACATTTCACTATACTCCCTGGCGTTGTATAGATTAGTGACTAATTGATTAATTGAAAACATAGTCATTCAATAATGAAAGCAGTTGTTAGTTGCAGCTGGATATTAAATCTCTGTTTTAAAGATCTAAAATACTGAGTACGTGAATCTTCAGTGTCCTCCATCTTCCTGGTGTCTCTGGGCTACAGTACCGGGTGTTGACCACTGGGGGGCGTCCTGTATTTGCAGACTGAACTGTGCTCACTGCTCCCTTGTTAAATGTGACCTGCGAATTTATTTCAGCAGCAGTTACAGAACAAAGTACCATCTGTGTTTCACACATGACAGATTCCCCGCTTTATTACTGGAGCAGGAGAATTAATAAAGTCATTAAGATATAGTAGAAAATATATTAAAAATACAGGTAAATCTAGACGAAGATCCCTGCACCATGGTCCGTCAGCTGGTTCTCTAATCCTGCTGCGTCACGTATTCCTTCAAGAGCCTTTTTACAAGGTTCTGCTGAGATTAAAGAACCTTTTTCTTCAGGTGCTGGACCCACTTAAAAATGAACGATGAACAGGAAATCTTTACAAAGCTTCTGCAGAGGGTTCCCGGACTGTGTGAAGAGGGTACCTGGGGGTTCTGGGGTTCCGCAGTAGGTTCAAGGACTGCTTGAGGCAGTACCAGGGGTTCTTGGAGGAGATTATAATTGGAGAACATTGCTCTGATAATATTCAGGGGATTCCAGATGAAGTGAAGGAGGTTCAGAAAGGTCCCTGAGGCTTCAGAGGACGTTCCAGCAATTGTTAAGGGATGTCCAGAGGAGGTTCCACTGTGAGGGGGGGGGGGTTATATGTTCTAATGAAGGTTCTGGTCAGTCTAAAGAGGTTGCAGAGACCAAGAAGAGAAAGGGTTTTAAAAGGGTGCTCAAGGAGCTGTCTGTGCTGCTGGGTTCTTGAAGGGATTTCCAGGGTATTGAAAAGGAGGTTATAAGTGAATTTCGGGGGGGGGGGGGGTTCAGATCTAGAAGAGGTGCCGGGGTTCTGAGAGGTTTCCAGTGGATCCATAGGAGGTTGAAGGAGCTTTAAGGGTCCTTGAGTGGGTTCTAAGGGCTTCTTAAGTGATGTTCTGGTGTTTCCCAGGAGGACTCAGGGGTACTTGAGGTAATTCTACGTATTTTTGGGGGTTCCAAGGCATCTGGGAAGATTCGGGGAGGTGTAAGGGACGCTCTGGAAATTTTCTGGGGGGGGGGGGGCTCCAGGGGATCTACAGAAGAATCAAGGATCCAGTGAAAGCTTGGGGAGTTCTGAGAGGAACATGTAGAGGAATATGAGGTTCCAGGATTAGTTCTCCAGGTTCCACGGGATGTTTCAAGGGTCCTGATGCCGAAGCTTTAGATTTACCAAAATCTGAAATCACAAGAAAAAGAAACAGAAACAACAAAATAAAATCAGCTGATGAAACTGAAAAATAAAATTCATAATGTCAAAATAAAGTTGTTAAAAATGAAAACGAGAAAAAAAGATCCATTTTAATTATAATGAATAAACAACGTCTTTTCCCTCTTAAGTCTTTTTGTGTGACATTTATTTGTATCACACAAAGTGTAATTGTATTTATCACCAGTGTAATTTCTTCCTCTCACATAATAATTTAAAAGATAAAATTATATAGATAATTATTATTTTTATGAGTTGCCCGCTGGTTTCTTCATCTTCCTCATCTTCCTCTTCATCGCCAACATGTTTGCAGCGTCTCATTGACTTTTTCTCTTCCCGCACAGAAATATTTTTCCAGGCTTTCCAGACGTTTCTGTTTCCCTGGAGAAAGTCAGCGGGCTAAAGGAGGATAAATATTTAATCAGCGCTGCTCTGGAGTTTTTGCTTAATTAGAGGAATTCTGCTCCCGCCACGAAAATGAACAGAAATGATGCTGGAGATGTCAGAGCCTGAAAACATCAAGAGCGATGATCAGAGAGGACCTCAAATTATTATTATTATTATTATTATTATTATTATTTTTACTATTATTTTTACTATTATTATTACTATTATTATTACTATTGTTATTACTATTGTTATTATTGGATGATTGATGCGCGCACCGGTTCTGTTGAATCCAAAATAAAGAACACGAATTTTACATCAGTGTGAAATAAAAACACTTGCACTAAAACACGGCTTATTAGCGGCTGTGTGTGTGTAACCTGTTGTTGTGTGTGTGTGTGTGTGTGTGTGTGTGTGTGTGTGTGTGTGTGTGTGTGTGTGTGTGTGTGTGTGTGTGTGTGTGAGAGAGAGAGAGTGCGAGCGCCATATGTCCGTGCGTAAGAAGAAAAAAAAGCGCAAATTGGTGCCAAATTTCCGCGCCGCTCGTGTCAGTCAGCCTGAACGCGGGATGACAGAGGAGATTATTCCACATGAAACCAGTTAATCCCCAAAAACCTGAAGGAGTGTGAGGCGGGAGGAAGTGAATACAGATTTCTGGGACTGATGAGCTTCAGTATTACAGTCTCGTATCCACACAAGAGTGTGCAGCGGCCTGACATGACTGACACGGAAGGTTTGGATGAAACAGATCCAGCCTCTGCCATCACTCCTCCATCACTCCTCCATCACTCCTCCATCATCACTCCATCACTGAGCAGTCCTCCGGCCGCAGTGCCACTCTGAGGCCGGGCTGTGTCGGTGTTGAGATGGTGCTTCACCGGCAACATGACTTTATCACATCAACATCAACAGCGACACATTCCCTCACAGGCTGGAGGTCAGAGACTGAACACCGGCCAGAGGCTTCCTCCTCCTCCACCCCCTCCACCTGGTTCACCTGTTTGTTCAGACCTTTAAAAACGTCATTTCTCACCTTCCGCAGTCAGACCTGTTCACCTCATTAACCCTAATCTCTGCCTTTTGTTTTTATCACTTTAAAACTTGAAAAATTTTAGACCTCATTTTTTACAGTGCGCGCGGCCGAACACGCGGAAACCCTTATTTGGCGCGCGCTTTGAAAAAAACAGTGACGCAACGCGCCACTGGACCAATAAGGCGCCAGAGGTGCGACCGCTATTCAAATGAGCCGCCCTTATTTGGTCGTGTCCCCGCCCCCTCCTGGTCCAACGCCGGTCCCCCGGGAGCTCCAGAGCCCCGGACCCCGGGAGAAGGAGCTCTCCGCCGGGACAGAGGAGTCATAAAGAGTCGGGGAGGGAGGGGATGAGATTTCTCGCTGCCCAATCCCCCTTTTCCCGCGGGAGCCGCAGCCTTCCACGGTCCGTCCCTCCCTCTTGTTTGCTAATCATTTCATTTTACTCCTTTTTGAAGCAGTGGCTTGTTTTTTTATCCCACTTTTCATTTTTCCACAATCCGCGGCTGCTCGCCTCCCTCTGATCCCCGGCTCTCCCCGCTCCGTTCTCCCAGAGTCAGGCGCTCCGGATCCCGGCTGATTGTGCTCCGTGTCTCTGCTACGGCTCCTCTGAGATGCTCTCCCCGCTCCCCGCTCCTCTCTCCGCCCTCTTTTAACTTCAGAGACGCCGCTTTAAAGCCCGTGCTGCTGCGAGCTGGGGCTGGGATCTAAAACAAGCCCGAAGAAACCCAGAGGGATCCGGGGCTCTTCTCTGGATCAGGACCCGGTACTTTGGGGAAGCTCGCTGGTGTGTCCCCCACCCCTCCTCCTCCCCTCCTTCCTCCTCCTCATCGCTCCTCTTCTCCACCTTAATCCAGGTGGTCCTTTGGCTTTTTTGAGTGGCTGGTACAGGGAGGATTATTCTTCTTCTTCTTTCTTGTTTCTGGTGAAGACAAAGCTCCCAGAAGGACACTTTGATGTTCTCCATCCAGGACAGCCTCCCCCGGGGGGCCCTGACCATGAAGGAGGAGCCGCTCCCCACCGGCATGACCCCGGTCCGTTCCTGGATGCAGGGCGCAGGGATTTTGGACGCGAACACAGCGGCCCAGAGGTAAAAACACCCCGAAAGCACCAACTTGTCCCCGGTCTGCTCTGCGCTGACAGTCGCTCTTTAGCCACAGTTAGAAAACTCCAGCGTCAAGGTGAAAGTCCCGTTTGCCTCCTCCAGGATCCGCGTGAGACCTGCACGGAGGGTCCGGTTCAGTCCGGTTCAGTCTGCAGAGCAAAAGAGCAGGAACCAGAAAACAGCCAGTTAAAGTTAATTCTTCTTCTTCTGCAGTTAAAGTGCACAGACAGCTGTTAGTGTGTTTCTGCAGGAAACCATAAAACATCAAACTATGAAGCAGCAGGAGATTTCTCTAGACCCGGACCAGACCCAGCTGAAAACCCGGGACTGTAAAAGTTTCAGTGTAAAGTGTCAGAGCATCAGCTGGATACTCCGGCTCCGGGTTCCCTCTGAATATCGATTAAAAACTGATCTGATCATCATTCAGAAAATAAAAAGAAATAATATTTGGATTAAAAATAAAAAGCAACGAGGCGTCAGCAGGTGAAACCAACGTGTTTCTTCTTTTTCTGAGTCTTTAAAAACAGCAGAGCTGATGGTTCAGCGCGGAGCCGCAGCCCCGTCTCCCCGTCTCCCTCCTCCTCTGCTGCGGACTCGGCTTCACCGGCTGCCCGGTGCGAGCGGAGACCGGCGCCGAATCACTTTCCCGCCTCCACGTGTCTTTGTAAACCAAAAGACAAGTTGAAATAATGTTCACTTCTCCCGCTCCGCGCCTCCGATTATTCATTGAAACACATGTGCCGCGCGGTTCGGTGTCGCACCAACACGCCGCGCGCAGAGAGCTCGGAGAGGCGGCGGGAGCAGCGCGGAGCCGCTGCACGCGCCGGTTCTCTGTCTGTTCTCTGACAATATTTAAATGTTATTATGAAGATAATCAAAGGAATTAGTTCGTGAGTGTTTAATTAAATCAGTGTTTTCTGTCCTCTCCAAACGGCTCGGATCTAAATTCTGAATTTATTTTAAAAAGAAGAATTGAAACTCAGATTTTTATTTTTGAATGAAAATGGATGAAATTACTAAAATTTAACAGTGTGACAGTTTAAATTAAAATGTTCTGCAGCGGGAGAAAAACCGTGTTTGACGCAGCGGAGCAGACACTCTGAATTCGTCCACTTCACCACAGGCCCATTTAAAATAATAATAATAATAATAATAATAATAACTTTAAAGCTTCACCATTTTTAAATAAATATTAATTTAAAAGTCAGAAGCGTCTGAAAATCTGAATTAAAAACCTCAGAATCGATAATTTAATTTAAAAATGTTTCCGCAGTTTAAAATAAAAAGTCTAATTTCAGAGTTTAGAAAAGCCAGATTTTCTCCTCCGTCTTTAAACTGCAGTTTTCTGGTAAAACGTATCGGGGGAAAAAAGAGAGTCTCAGGTGTGAACAGCTTCAGTGTCTCAGGTGAGGAGGGAAATTTCACCGTTGACTCGGAGAAATCGATGCAGGTTTAAATCACCTGAACACTGACAGAGAAAATCCATCAACAGACTGAAGAGGCTCCGCACGCGACCCAAACCACGGCCCCCCCCCACATGGAGGGATCCTCTGGTTCCCGCTTTAAATCGAGTTCAGCTTTGATTTAGTCACATTTCATCTTTAAAACTAAAAGTGATCAGATCCAGTTTTAACCGGTTTTAATAAAGAACCAGTTTGAGTGTAAATTAATAAATTTGATCCAGAATCAAACCGTTAAATTCATTAATCAAACATTAAAGATTAAATGTTCATGAACTGAAGCAGCTGCAGGTTCAGGCCAACAGCCAAAACAAACACCATCTGAACTAAATCAGGATTATTGTCATTATTGATTAATTTAATTGTTATTTTCACAATTAACTGATCAATTAACTGATGATTAATTTGGTCTAAAGAAAGGCAGCAAACAGGAGGAAATGTCCCTCACAGTTTTCCGTAGTCAGAATTACACATGTTGAGGTGTGAGATGTGAAGATGCAGGTTATAATCACAGATCAGATATTTAATAAATGATTGATCGATTATCACAGCGTTGGCAGTTATTTTACCGTTGATCGATCTATCAGCTGATCGATATAAATCCAGATGAAATTGTTGTAAAATGTGTAAACGGTGATGAACTCTGTGACTGAGTCTCTTCTTCTACATGAAGTTTATTAAAGCTGCACAAAAACCATCAGAGTCTCTGAAGGTTTCACAGTTTGTACAACAAACATCCTGAGAGATGAAGCTGAGGAGGAGGAGGAGGAGGAGGAGAGCGGCTCCTCACAGTCAAACACCCAGAGCTCCAGTCTGAGGGTTTACAGGTGTGAGCTGAGACCAGGATCCAGACTCTAACAGAAGCAGCAGCGGTGTGTTCAGGGCTGAACGAGTGTCGTCAGCCTCAGTGTGAACACATGAGCTGAGAGGTGAACGTGTGAAGAAGCTGCTCGGTCTCTCTTTACTCTCACGCTCCAGCTTCTCAGTTTCTGTACAAGCGTCAGATGAAAACACGAGCTCAGATATTCTTCTGTTTGTTGCTCTGGAGCCGCAGATTAGTTTCAGAGTTTCTGCTTCACTAGATGAACGTTCAGCTTTACCGTGTGTGTGTGTGTGTGTGTGTGTGTGTGTGTGTGTGTGTGTTTTATCCGCTGGATGTGGATGTTGAATCGTGTGTATTTTAAAACCCAAAATTTAATTTTATAAATTAGGATTTCTAATTTTCTGTGTCGCTCGAGCCGTCGTCAGAATACACCCCTGGGTTCTGTTAAAGAACCTTTAACGAGGAGAAGAAGGAACTTGAGAACAATGAGAACGGGCTCAGTGGAAGTTGTACAGAACAGACAGGAAGTAAATAAATCAGGAAATATCTGATCAGATTTATTCAAGTGAAGGAGGTTCAGACGTTGAATCATGGATTTAAGGGTTTCTGTAATGAGGCCGGTGATGATGATGATGATGATGATGATGATGATGAAGATGAAGATGACCTGTGTGTATTCAGGGTTCTGCTGGTTGTTTTTTTTGCGGAGAACAGATCAGATCTTGTGTCAGAGAAATGAAAGTTTCAGCTTCACACTAAACCTTAACAGCGCCGGACTCACTGATGGGATGTGTTTGTGTTCTGTGGGTTTTCTGAGCGGCAGCTGGAGATTCGTGTGTTTTTGTGTTTGTCAATCTTTGTGTCGAGGTGACAGGACGAGTGTGTGTGTGTGTGTGTGTGTGTGTGTATGTGTGTGTGTGGTGTTTCCTGCTGCCTGTCACAGGAAGTTTGAATCATCCTCATCGAGTTGGTTTTAATATTAATACACCACAAAAACCACATGGATCCACCTCTGGACAGATGTGCAGCAGTTAATGAATCACACAAACCTCCATCAGACATCAGCGAAAACACAGAGAAAATCTGAGACGGTGAAAACTGACATGAATCATCCTGAAAAACAGACCAGTGATATTTATGAAATCAGTAGAATAAAACAGAATAATCTGTATTTTAACGGTTTTATTGAAGCAATTTTATCAACAAGATAAATTCAAATAAAGTCTGAAATTAAAACTAGAAAAATCTTCACATTAATAATATAAAAGTGTTAATGAGACACTTTATTATTTCTATTATTATTTAAGAAATAATAAATAAAACAATAACATTTCAGTCGGACGCTGCAGAACATCTGGACAGCACAGAGCAAACAGCTGGAGCGGTGACAGTCATAACGACAGTGAGGGAACGAGACGTGAAGTTGAACCTGATGAAGGTGGATGCTTCTCTTCACACTGAGGCTGCGTTCACAAACCTGCAGTGTGAAGTTCATTATTGTTTCTCAGCAGCGTTCAGTCTGTTATTGATCAGCGATGGAAGTCACTCACACTCGTTTCACTGACTCTGGTTGTTTTGTTGTTTTATGTTGAAGAAAAGTTCAGGTGCATGAGAACAGGTAGATCTCAGGAGAAGACAAGACAGCGTGGTGAAATAAATAATAATTAACACATAAATGAAAAATAAAGAGTGAGGAAACTGAACCACAGCAGATCATCCTTTAGATTTAATCCCAGTGAAACTCTGAATCTGATCCTGGTTTTGTCTCCACCACCGACTTTAAATCTGAGCTTCAGCTCTTTAATGAAGCTTTGAATCATTCCTGATCAGAACAGCTGAAATCGTGATATTTCATATTTAAGAACAGGCCAAAGATAAAATTCAAGCCCGTGAGTTTTGGTTCATTTGAGAAATGAACCAAAACTCACGGGCTTGAATTTTGTCTTTAAATCAACGAGGAACCATGTGATTTATCTGCATCGCCGCGGTAACAACCACAGCTTTATCTTTATTAACTCTTCATAAATAACAATATAAAAAGAATTAAAAATTGGTTGTTGACCAATCAGAGGAGAGGCGTCATCGCTGAGGTAACGGCAAAATAAAAAAATGACAAAACAGAGACATGAAATGAGGTTTTGAAACAGAAGAAAGCGACTTGTGGTTCACGTCTGTTTAAGGTGGAGATGCTGCTGTGTGTTTAAATGAAGGTGGAGGTGTAAAAGGTGAATCAGTGACTTTGACCCTGAAGCTTTAACATGAAAGAGTTTAAAGTGCGGTCTTTACACTGAGAGAGAGTCTGTGCTGCAGCGACGGCTTTGTGTGTTTCTGCTGCAGGTCTGTGGATCGTTCATCTGTCCACACGTCGAAAATCAAACTCTGTGATCAGTTGAACACTGTCTGTCAGTGTGTCCTCGTGCACAAACACTCACATTCATCTTCTTCCTTTTTAGACCCACGTCAGTGTTTTTATGTGAGAACAGGTTTCTTGTGTTTTTAGCAGCTGGGGAAAAAGACGCAGGTTCCTCTGGATCCAGATCGTTGTTCGGTCTCTGTGGATCCTCGTCCGACAGGAGGGTTTTAAAAGGATAAAATCAGACTGTGTCACATTCTCTCTCACAGCTGAGTTCAGCTGAAGATACAGGAGACCATCACGATCCTGGTCTTCCTTTAAAGGGCCATCTGCAGCCTGACCTGAACCT